TTGTGGCTTCCTTTAGGGACAAAGCGGCCACACTGTTCCTTGCCTCCTGTTTAGTTCTTCTTTAAAATCGTTCTCCATGTTTATCGAACGGGATATAGTAAGAAGACGTCTCCGCGATTGGAGAGCCTTCTAATTCCATTTCCTAATCCTCGCCAAAAGTTCTGCATTGAATCGCGGTCCCCTACTTCGTTTAGTCCTTTCAACATTGTCTCCGCCTCAGTAATATTTCTCAAGAAGAGAACATGTCATCCGCAAAACGAAGGTTCAAGAAGAATTTCCCATCAACTCGTATACCTTTCTCGTTCCAGTCCAGTGATTCCATCACCCACTGCAAGGAGAGACAAACAGCTTTAGCGACACGTTTCGCCTTGTCAAACCCGCTTCAAATTGGAATGTTAAGGGGGCCATAGAAAAGCTGTGCCGTTGTAGAGAAGTTCTTGTAGAAGTCGGCCATTGTCTCCACGTAACATGGGTAAATCCTTTGGTCGACGAGCGTTGGCAGTATGGCATTAGTCTCGACGCTGTCAAACGCTTTCTCATAGTCGACGAGGTAAGGACGAGAGGTAGGCGATACTCTCGGCAAACCTATAATCCTTCCTCGAAACGGTTTGGATGTGAGTCTGCGGCTGATTCCCTTGCAAAATCCAGCTTGTTCTACAGATTGGGCTTCATCCATTGTCCTTGATATGCGAGCGAGAATAATCTTTGTAAAAAGCTTTTAAAGCACACTCACAGGCATATTGATCGGTAGTTCCGAGGATCCTCTATATCGCCCTTCTTATGAAGAAGGATTGTTTGGGAGGTTCTCCACGGGTCGGGGATCCTTTCCATTTGAAGGTAGGACGTTAGTTCCGCAAGTATCTTGTGTAGACGATGTCCTTCAGTTCGTAAGAGCTCGAGCGAAACATGGTCCGGTCCCCGAGCCGTGGCCGCCTTCATAGTCTGTTTTGCGGCGCGTACTTCAGAGGTAGAATTCTTGGTGGTATTTCTCCAGTGGAAATAACAGAGTTTGACATGGGTGTTGACAAGCAGAGATTGGTGCAGAGTCTCTTCGTGATCGATTCCATCTTTTTGTCGGGAAGATGTGCGAGTCCCATCTTCGTTTAGTAATGTTGTCAACGGAACACGGTAGTCGAGAAGGTCCTTGCGGTACTTCTTTAGACTTCCCTTCTTGTGCTGTCTCCAAAAGTTTCGATTGCTTGTACTTTCGAAGATCTTCTTGCAAAGCTGTTCTGCAACTGTATTGGCTACCAGTCGCTCGAGATGATGCAGTAGGATCCATCCTCAGTGATCTCCTCCTTTCTAGCAGATACTTATTGGCTTTCAAAATCCGTTCCAAGATCCTTGTTTGCAACATTGAGGCGCTTTCACCACAGGCCCTCAGTCCTCTGAGAAGCAGTTCGTAGTCCTTCGTTGGGTCTTCTTCAATGAGCCAGTCACAAGCTGTCAGGAGCTCCTCCAATCTGACGCCGTCATATACGACTTCTCTTCTTCCTCCAACACGGTGACAGATCTTTTTTTCCAGCTTTCGGCTGATTCGCACTCTGCTCAAAGAAAGCGATATTTTGAACATTGCTGAAGGACGGTACCTGTGACGTCTAGTAAGCACCACCTTCGGTTGGTGAGAATATGTCGATTTCCGCATATTTCGTACCGTTAGGTGACTACCATGTCCACCGCTGGTGTTTCTTCTTCATGAGGATGGAGTTTTTTTAAAAGGTCGTGCGACGGTTAAAAGCCCAACGAGACGTTACCATTCTCTTTCGCAATCCTAATTCAAACCTTCCGATCACCTCCCTTTCTTCTGACATCGATTTT